GGAAGGTGTCCCTGCCCATGGCAGGGGGGCTGGAGCTGGAACTGGATGATCTTGAAGGTCTCTTCCAACCCAAACCGTTCTGTGATTTTATATCTGGAAGCAGGCAGAGGGTTCTGGCAGATGGAAAAAAAAAAAAAGCCCCTCGGGTGTCCTCACCGCACACAACCACAGAGCTTTGGGCAGTCACAGCAGATCCTGGCAGAGGGACAAGCGTCCATCATCCGTATCCAGCACAGCTGGGACCGATCTCATCCTGCATGGAGACCTGGTCCAGCTGGTGACAATCTGAGACGGCAGCTCCAGCCACCGAAGCTCCCACCAAGGCAGGCTGCTGCCACGTGAAGGACCTCTCCCCCCACCAACAGCTCCTTCCAACAGGCTTTTCAAAGCAGCAGGATGCGTGAATTAACCGGAACAGCTACTTTTGTCACAGGTGAACTCTTCTGGAAATGCCGCTGTCAAAGCCGCACGCACCAGATGTTTCACCTCGGGACAAAACCACTTTTGAATCAAACACAGAGAGGATTCAGCAACCCGTGCAAGGAGGTCTGGTCAAAGAACCCATCCTGCAAGATCTCTAAGAGTCACAGCAACTGTTCCCATGGAAGATCCAGGGTCAGCTCTGCAGGATCCCACCCGCTCAATTCTTCCAGTGACACGGGGTTGGTGTCACCCCAAGGTTGCCCTGTCCATGGCACAGGTCCTGCCCAGGAGTCATGCTTGACCTGCTGCAGCTACAGCTCGGCCAGCCCAAATTTTCATGAACTCAAGCCCGTTGCTCCCTGTCCCAGGGAAGCCAAGCAGACATGGACCAGCAAACAGCGGTCTGAAGTCCCCGCAGACATAGGGGAGAAGACGTGAGCCACCTCCACCCAACCCTCTGCTGAACAAGGGACAACTGTTTCCACTGCGGGACCATTTTATTACGAAAGGATTTGTTAACAACGAGCTCTGTCCATTACAAACCATACGGTTTATAGAGGAAGAGGAGCGGTTCGTGCCGCACAGCCTGGAGGGTCGGGAAATTTCAGGGAACAGAACAAACCTCACGTTAACCTCAGCTGGACCCGGAGCACCCACAACAGGTCCTCAGCCCCTCAGCTTCTTCCAACGGAGTCACCTCTGCGCGTGCTGGGTCTGACCACGGATGTTCCCAAATACTCACAGCCACCTCTCCGGAGTGAGAGACCCCATTGTTCCCCGCGTGGCAGTTACACCAGCTCTTCTGCAGGAAGGAGCGCTCCGAGAGAGACATCTCTGCGAGGAACAGGAGCAGCAGGTCCCTGGGAAACGGTCACGCCTCTCCAAGGGCTGCCGTAGGCTGGGTGGGCATCTTCTTGCTGACTCAGCAAGCGAGAGGACCGTTAGTCTGAATTTATCTTCTGTGGCATCAGCCCTTTTGCCCACATCTTCCTCATTCTGAGTCCTGCCAGCCCAGGTTCAAGCTAACGTGGGTGCCTGTCCTGTTCCCATCAGCCCCCCACGGTCCCAAAAAGCTGTCTGTGAAGCGCGCCTCAACAGCCAGCCGTAGTCTGAGAAGACAGCCAGGCTCCTTGGATCTCCCCCTGGGATTCACGGGCTCCTGGCAAAGCGTCGGTGAGCAGCGTGTCCCAGCGAGGTGCCTCCGCCTGAGAGCAACGGGATCGGCGGTGGTGGCAAAGGCAGATCTGCAGAGCCCAGGCCCGAGGCTGCTGGATGGACCTCCTCAGTCGGAGTCGCTTCCCTCCTGCTTTGCTGACCCAACAGCGGACGCCAGCTCCTCCTCCTGCCCTTTCAACCGCTCTCCTGCAAGTGAGAAGCAGCAGCAGCTCAGAGAAACTGGGGAACGCACATGGCAGAGGACCTCAGCTGCAGCCCCCGAACCCACAAACCATCCTTCCCTTCCCCGAGTGTGCGTGCAGCCTCGGGGAAGGTGCCTGGGACCGACAGCTTCACAGACGCTTTTGGGAAGGGCATCAAGCTCCACCAGTCCCTCCCTGGCCCAACAGCACAGCACCGAGCTCCCAGTGAGGATCATGTAATCTCTCTGGAACAACTGGTGACCCCATACGACATCCCCGCGGCACCGTTACGCACGTATCAGTTCAGCGATGGCTCTCTGCGTCCTCTTCTCCAGCTTCTCCAGTTTCTTGGCTACATCTCGCTTCAGATCCCTGGGAAGGAGAGTGACAATGTCAGAACAAACCCTTGCCCCAGGCAGACGTGAATGCAGGGGCCACGTTACAACTTCTCCAGTGGAAGAGAAACTCTTTCTCTCTCTTGCAAGCACCATGGAGCAGACTGCGTGTCTGCCACCAAGGCAGCTCATGGGCAAACCAACTCAATGCCCAGAGCATCCCTTTGCCACTGAGGCCACCATGGTGACAACCACCCCAAAGGGATCAGCGGAGTCTTGCTACAAGCAGGAAGAGGGAGGACGGCCCCATGCCTTGTGCCACCCTCAACACCAGGGCTGGGTTTCCCGCTTCTAGCACTTCTACAGAATCGTTGAATCACAGAACGGTTGGGTTGGGAGGGATCTCCAAAATCATCCAGTTCCAACCTCCCTGCCATGGCCAGGGACACCCTCCACTACACCAGGGTGCTCAAAGCCCCATCCAACCTGGCCTTGAACACTGCCAGGGATGGGGCAGCCACAGCTTCTCTGGGCAACCTGTGCCAGTGCCTCACCACCCTCAGAGGGAAGAATTTCTCCCTGAGATCTCATCAAAATCTCCCCTCTTCCAGTTTAAAGCCATTGCCCCGTGTCCTGTCATTACAGACCCTTGTCCAAAGCCCCTCTCCAGCTTTCTTGTAGCCCCTTTAGGTACTGGAAGGTGCTGGAAGGTCTCCCCAGAGCCTTCTCTTCTCCAGGCTGAACAGCCCCAACTCTCTCAGCCTGTCTCCAGAGCAGAGGTGCTCCAGCCCTCCCATCATCTCTGTGGCCTCCTCTGGAGCCGCTCCAGCAGCTCCATGTCCTTCTGATGTTGGGGACCCCAGAGCTGAAGGCAGCACTGCAGGGGGGTCTCCCGAGAGCAGAGCAGAGGGGCAGAATCCCCTCCCTCACCCTGCTGCCCACGCTGCTTTTAACCCAGCCAGGACAATCTCGAGGCAATGGTAACCCACCGCTGACACAGACACCCCTTTCCCAGGAGCGGGGCTCTGCAGGCACTCACCAGTCTGGCTTCCTGGGGGCTAGGTTTGCCAAATCCTAGGGAGGAAGAGGAGACACCCAGTGAGAGCTGCAGGCAAGGTTCAAGCCTGGACACAGACGGACGCACCCCAGCACAGCGCCGTTCTGAATATACGTACCACCTCCTCGATGATGGGCTCCGGCTTGGCGGCCTCCAGCTGGTCCTTCACCTTGTCTTCCACTAGATGGGGGAACAGGATCAGCATCGACGCAGCGGCAGGACACCAAGGGGACAAGGCACAGGAAAAGCATCAGAGCTCTGGGCTTGGTTCCCAGCAGCTTTTATAAAGCCAGTTTGAAGGTCTTTGCCCCACACACGGTACACACGAGTGAGTACACACGGGTACAAGCATCCCTCCACCACCCAAACGCTTTCGGAGACTCCTAAAAATCATAGACTCATAGAATGGTTTGGGCTGGAAGGGACCTCCAAGATCATCCAGTTCCAACCCCCCTGCCATGGGCAGGGACACCCTCCACTACACCAGGTTGCCCAAAGCCTCATCCAACCTGGCCTTGAACACTTGCAAACCCAACAACCATTTGCCACCACAAACAAGAAGTCTGCTGGGTCCAAGTCCTGTTTTCCTAAGACCCGCAGGGACCAGCTGCTCCACAGGTGTTTAAACTGGGATTTGACTGTCCGTGACTCATTTACGAGGGCACAGCCTGAGCCACCTCAGAAGAATCACGCTCCAGCCCAGACCTTACGTAAAGGTCTGCAGATCTTGGGGATAATGGCAAAGCACGGGTGGAAAACAGCCCTCCCCAACCTTCGCCTCGGGTGAATCCTGCTCCAGCAAACGGATATGCCCAAAGGATTTTTAACATGAATCCACTTCGAGTCTGAGCTCCTCCGTCCTCCTCCATCCCCAGCCCCTGTGCGAAGTGCCCGAGGACAGAGGCTGGTTACTCCAGACACGGGGAACCGCAGCCGACGGGCACCACGGCTCCAAGGAAGGGCTGGCAGAACGCTCAGGTTTTACTGGAAGCGGTCAAAATCGCCATTCCCGATTCCAAAGCACGCGCCGGGGAAGAGTCAGGGGAAGTTTGAAACTTTTACAAAAGGATAAAGGAAGCGCAGCGTCAGCATTCCTACCTACCAGATCTCTGCCGTGCTCCCAAAGGCAGCCCTTTTATTTAGGGCATTTTGAAAGAGATCTATGCCAGGAGGACTCAATATTCCAAGATCAAGGGAACTTCTACCCTTCGCCTCCCTCTAAGGAGCAGCGCGGGGGTTCGGTGCAAGGAAACAGCAGACGGAACGCCCGGGACTCATGACTAATATTTGTTTAAAGGTAATTCAAACACACACAAAAAAAAAAAAAAAAAAAACCAGCCTGAATCTCCTTGAGAATCCTCCAGCGAGAGCTCGGCTCCTCCGAGCATCAACCCTTCGGTTTGGGGCTGGACTCGGTGTGCTCAGCCACACACCCGGCTTGTGCAACGCGGGGCGTGCAGTCCCGCGGGCGACAGAGGATGATGAAGCAACGAAGGCCACAAGCATCGTCCTCACCCAGCTCCCACCACGGCTGCTCAGACACGCCAGCACCCTGCAGGGCTGCAGACACTCGTCTCCTAGGACCTACCACCTTCACACCAGAACACGTCCCAGTGGCTTTTCCACCGCGGCTTGGAGCGAGCAGGAACGCAGAGGTTTCCAAGCCCTTTGATTTTTGGGAAAAGGTATAAGCCATCTGCTTTTGCAGAGTCCCACACTGTTTTATTCGTCCTCACCACCGCTGGCAACACTTCTGCTTTCCTGCTCCCTTCGTTTCGCTTCCCAGGCTCCCGCTTGCACCCACCTGAAGCCGGCTTGGCTTGTGGCACCTTCCTCTTCTTCAGCTCCTCATCTTCGGGCTCGTAGTTTCGCAGTTTGAGCTCCCTGGGGAGGAAGGAGAAGAGCACAGAGCAGTGAGGCAGGAGATGCAAGTAGTAATGGACCCAAGTTGCCTGGCAAAGCTCTGAAGTTCAGCCCAGCTCCTCCCTTTTTAGGTCTCAACCCAGTGATAGACCCAGGATGGAAATACCAGAGACTCATAGAATGGTTTGGGTTGGAAGATCCACAATCAGGGGGAAAAAAAAGATCCCAAGAGGGCACATGGGAAGGATAAGGAGGGGAAAAAAGGAGTATTTAGGGTACGAGGTGGTTGCACGGTCACCAGAGGTGCTTCTGGAAGTGCTACGAACAGGGGTGCAGGTCAGCCCATGGTGCAAATAACAGGAATACCAGAGACTCATAGAATGGTTTGGGTTGGAAGATCCACAATCAGGGGGAAAAAAAAGATCCCAAGAGGGCACATGGGAAGGATAAGGAGGGGAAAAAAGGAGTATTTAGGGTACGAGGTGGTTGCACGGTCACCAGAGGTGCTTCTGGAAGTGCTACGAACAGGGGTGCAGGTCAGCCCATGGTGCAAATAACAGGAGTAAATTCAGGTTTCTGAGCAAATGGGTGGTGGAGCTGCCAGTGACAGGGACACTGATGTCCAAACGACACCCAAAAGTTCACCCACCCTTCCGCCACCCTCCAAGAGAGCTCAAGAGTCAGCAGTCAGCCCTCACCCCGATATTTGGATGCTAATTCTCCCCCTTTTTCAAGGCTCTTCTTTTTACGCCTCTCCCGAATAATTCAGGCCTGGAATGGACAACCAGTAGATAACTTCCACCACCTTCACGCCCAGGCTGATTTCTCTGCAAACTTCCAGCAGAGGCATTTCCAAACCCAGAGCCCCGAAAACAGAGCTCGCAGGACCGCGTCCCACCTCCAGCCGCTGACGCAGGCCTCCAGCCCACTCCGCGGGCTGCTGGATCTACAGAACGGAACGCGAGCCCGCACGGCAAATGAAGTAAATTCCAACTCATTTAACACTCTCGACGGGTTTAATCGGTTTGGTACTCGCTGCCCGGCGCTGCTCCTGCCCTGGCTGTCGGCAAAGCCTTCAGCAGTGATGAGGGTGGCAGTGCCACAGAGGAGGAGGATGCAGAGAGCCCCAATGGAAGCACAGGAGAGGGCACTTTTATCAGGAAGGAAGACCATAGGATCCCAGAATGGTTTGGGTTGGAAGGGACCTCAAAGATCACCCAGTTCCAACCCCCTGCCATGGGCAGGGACACCCTCCACTACACCAGGTTGCCCAAAGCCTCATCCAGCCTGGCCTGGAACCCTTCCAGGGATGGGGCATCCACAACTTCTCTGGGCAACCTGTTCCAGTGCCTCACCACCCTCTGGGTGAAAAATTTCTTTCCTGTATCTAATCTAAATCTGCCCTGTTTCAGTTTAAAGCCATCGCCCCATGTCCTG